TATCCCTAGTTCTGCTAGCAATTCCTCATCCTGACTTTTCAAAATCAGTCCTCAATCATTGGATGCTGCATCAACCTTGACATCTTATATCCTTTATGAAATTAGCGTTCTGTAGAGGAATTCTTCAACTTGGTTCCCAAATCAACCGTCCACTAATCCAGAGACATGAAAATAACATTAAGAAGTTTCCAAACTTCCAACTCCTGAATCTACACAACCCTACATGCTGTCTCTACCACTGACTACTAACACAAAAACTTCTCTTGCTAACCGTTCTCAAGATCCTCCTTCCGACTCAATAGAGTCCTATCGGCGTTGCTCCAACCTGGATTCCCAATCAGCTACTAACCATATCGATTACATGGACTAACTGCTGGGAACTTCCCCAAACTCCCAATTCTGAACTCCTTGATCCACCCATTGCTATGCTACTATCCTTTCTTTTCAAGGATTGCGTACTCATTCCGGGTCAGCGTGCTCTTGCCCTCGTATACTCGGAGGGTTCTCCCCCACTTGGATCCGGCTAAATCCCTACTGCTTACTGGTCAAAAGGATCCCCCAACCTTCCTTCCACTAAGGGTGATCTGCTGCTCGCCCACATTTATCTCTGTCGACACTCCATCCGACCTTTACCAGATCCGAACCACTCTTGCCATCTAACCGAGCACCCTTCAGCCCTTTATTGTACTTGCTTTAGTGACTGCACCCTAAGAACTTGCGTTTAGGGTGAATATCTCCAACTCACTTCCTTACTGACCGCTAGCTGCTCCACTAGAAGCTCTAGATTGTCACTACCGAGGATATAACCGATCAATACTCTAATGACACCTTCCGAAAGTAGCGAGAAGCTTTTGAATATTACACATACATGCTGCAGTTACTATATCCAGAGTAGCCTGTTCTAGAGGGGGCAACCCCCAACTATCATTCTAACATCCAAGGTATGCAAATGGCATATAGCTCGGACACAAACATGTAATATGATACCCCAATGCATACGCTTATAAGTATGGTGTAAAATGTTGGAGAGGGACCATATTGACATATTATGAAAAAAAGACCAACTCTTGTTCAAAAGTAAGAGTCAAAATGGGAATATATGAATGATTCCATAGGAGGAAGTTATTCTTCAAATCTGTGTAAGATTAGAAAATTTTAATGCAAGAAGGATGTTCAAAGGAATGTACTTTGAATGAGAGACTTCGTTTCCATTGAATTGATCTCCATTGGAATACTTTGTAATGTCTGTTGCCAAGTCTTGTGACTTTTGTGCATAGCCATTACAAGAGGATCAATTCAAATGAGTTTAAAATCTAACAGATTATAGTAAATGACAAGAATTTGATATTCTTACGTTTACGGTAAGCATTTGGATTGTGAAATGATCATCATTGGAATCATGTTCAATTGATCTATTTCACAAAGTAAGGATCATAGACAAACATAGTGTGCATACCTGGAGTATGGCATAACTATTGTTTAGAAAACTTAGTGTGCATGCTTGAAACCTGGGACAACTATTGTTTTAATTCAAGTATTAAGTTGATTATTTGAAACATTATGTATTGAATAATGTGTAATCAACATGGTGATTAAATGAAAGGTGTTTTATTTATATTCATAAGTTTTGAGACCATATTGGATTCGATTATTCTTGTGTTTCACTTTGCATGTTTTGACTGCCCGAATAACTAAGTTATTCAAACCATCCACGCTCAATCATACTTTGGAAGTACGTATTGAGGCAAGACCGTCATGAATGGGTCTATAGTTTGTCTGGGACAAAGTAACTGCAATGTTCATGAGTGCTCCTGGAATGAGATTCGAGTATTGGATTCAACCCATGCTCATTTGAATCACTTCATGAATTTAATCACGAGTGATCATGAGACGATAATATCTTATATTCTTCAAATGGAGACGTGTGAGTTATAGTTGTGAGTTGGTTGCACATTGACATATGTAAACACAACTAGTAACTTGGTTGTTATAAAACATATCATTATGTGTAATTTGATGAGTAAGTACAAGTGAGGATTCGGGTCGAAGTTTATCGATTCCTTTTACCATTGGAGGGATAAAAGCAATATCTGTGGGGACCTCGATGATTTAGTGATGACACCCCTAAGTGCTTGGTCAAGCCTGGACTGATTTGATTTGTTCAATTAGTCAGTATTCATAAATCAGAAATCGGGAAACAGCAAATGGACAGAGAGAATGATTATAATCTATGTCTTAGTCCATATGATATCTAGAATGGAGGAATATATGATCCCTTATCTAATGGACACGTCATTTGACTAGGCCAGAGTTTGACAGCGGCTTTAAGAGCTACAATTGCTAGTCGGGATCTTGGAGTCATACTTGAATAATAGTTTTAAACTTATCCAAGTGGGAGACTATTGGATTAGATGTATAAGCCCACAATTATTATTGGTATGTACTCAACCCGAGAGTAGCATGGTCCATTTGGTTTGCATGGCAGCGGAACAATTGGATAGACAAGTGAGAAAAGGTTACTTATGATTTATATTAATATATTATAAGTTCTAATATATTAATATGAAATCATATTATTAATTAGTATTGATCAATAATTAATATGGAATTAATTTTGTGATCAAAAGAGACGAATTAAATGTATGGGGATTGGTTATGTAAATCATTTATTCTTATATATGTGGGCTTGTGATCCATTGTCCTTCATGTTGGGCTTAAACCATGTGGTAACCCAAGGATACTCCATGGAGGTTAAACCCCATGGATCATGAAGGAAATGGAAAGTCATGCACATTAGGCTTTACATGGTGTAACCCTAATGAGCCACACTATATAAAGGATCCCCTGGTTCATGAAATGGCACTAGTGGATACATAGTGAAGGCAATGGACGATTTCATAGGGATAACCAAAGTAACATTCTTCTCAAGTTATTCCATTTGTTGGTGGTGTTGTGTGATTCCATTTGAGGCTTCCACACTATTGGGGCTAAGCTCTTAAAGGTTCAAGAATTTAAGCTCCATCAAAAGGTATGCTATCGAACTAGACTTTTGTAGTGTAGTTGCTCCATAATATGCTAGTTAGGATGACGCTTTGGAATTTGGTATATTTGCATGTATAATAGTGAAAACATATATCGAAGGCACATAGGGTTGCATGCACACCATAGGATTGTTAGAATGCTCTAAACCCTTCAAACTTAACATTGATTATTGAATCATCATGTGTTCAATGATTATCATCATGTGGTCCATCATCATTTTGGTGTTGAGCATCACATCCCTTGATCACTCTAGGTAAGTGTTACTTCTTCCTTTTTACACTCTATGATGATCATGGTGTATACTTTCTAAAGTTTTGTTTCCTTTCTTGACATAACATAGATTTGAATATCTCTAGTGTCATTGTCAAAAGTGTTTCTTTATCTCTTTTTTGCTCATTGATTTAACAAGGCATCAACTGGTAAGTAACATCTCTCTTGCTTATTCACATACCCTCATGTGATAATGTTATCCCTCCTTAGTTGATGATTCATGTCTATACATATGTTCCTATGGTCAGGTTCCCCTAGTATTGGCCAATCATTTTTTTCTTAGTGAACACCTCTTCTTGTTGCAATCATATTGGGTGAGCATCAATTAATTTTTATTACTTTTTTATTGATCATTGATTCACTTTTAAATACCATGCTTAGGTTATTTAGTGTTGATCCTATTATCAAATCTGTCCTATGAGCATTATACTTATTGGGGGATATCTTTATTTTCATACTCACAAGTCTATTACCTTCACTCTTTTTCCTTAAGTTAATGTCTCTTCTCTTACTCTTTTGTGATCTTCAATTTCATGTCTTTTATATGTTCTTTTAAGACCAACATATTTTTTTCTCCTTTTTCAACTCTTTATAAATCCATTCACTATTCCACGTGTTCTTGGATTTACATAAATAGTTGTCACTTACTGTCTCTATGATACCTATTCTTCTATTAATTTCTAAAGACATCTTTATTTGATATGTCATAATCATCATAGACCATGACTTAGCACTTTTACGTTATCTTTGCACTTTTGCTACGATTTAGTAACATCATTTTTTTTTGTTTTGTTGTTTTATAAGACATCAAGTCCTTTCTTTTCTATTTGTACTTGTCATGTCATTTACTTTCTGAGTTATACATATTGAGATATAAATTTGCAGATTCCTCTTATCTATATTTGAATAAACAATACTACTCAAGTCACAACATTGTTTAGTTAATGCAAATTCATACATTTTTTCTTTCAATAGACCCCATTTTTAATTTAGTTAAGATTATATGCTAGTACTCTCTAGCTATATCTCTTTAACTAACAATTCATTCCATTTTTTTCTTCTTTTGTTCTCTCAAGTCATGGATTCCAAAGAAGATGGATAGACTTCTAAAGTAAAAGCTTCTCATAAGGAATCCAAATCTCATGCAACTAGATCTTCCACTATGACAAATTCATCACCACTTAAAATTTTAATGGCTACATCCAAATATATTGCATTTCTTAAAACTTAAGAACAACGTACTTAAGTCGGTGTTATAGTTGAATATTTGCGAAAGTGCCCATTGGCATATGCACTCCATTCTACTTCTCCAACTCCACAGTCTCTTATTTCAAACGTATTTCAATCTGCAGCCATCTCTCCAAGAGTAAGGTCAAAACAGCTTGATGTTGAATTTGATATTTTTCAAACGAACTTGGTTCTAACTAAAGAAGAGTTCGCAATAAGTTTATGTCTAAGCGATCGTTCTCATCAACCTAAGACATTTGGCACACCTTCTTCTGCTCAACCGTTGACAATGTTAAAGGAAAATGGGATACAAATTTGAAGAAAACACTGAACCAAACCTTTCAAGAATTAGGAAATCTTGCCTTCCCACACCATGACACTTTCTCAGTTCCATCCTCACTCGGTTTCTTTTCAGACCATTCGGTGGACGTAGTCGTGGTAAAACAGATCTTTAGATTGCCATGTGTGGGCTTTTCTATGACATCAATGTTGACTACACGTCTATTCTTTGGGAAGATTTCCTTACCTTTCTCCATGCCTTAAAGAATAAGTTCCTGATTCATCATCCTTGTTGGTGGTCTATCGTTAGTCATGATGTCATTAATAATATAAATCGTACACCAGACGAGATTCTAGAAGACCCACAACCACATTTCTTGTGTATGACACCATATAGGATTTATATTGCATCTGAATTTGAGTTTTCACATCCATTCATCATCCCAAATGCTATAATTGCATAGCTAGATGAAAAAAGTGCCTCTCTACTCTCATATAAAGATACATCCAGGGAACTAATTCTCCTCCGAAAAAGAAGAGGAAGCACTCAAATCAAGCATCCAAAAAGTCGGATGATAATATTGGAGTAGATTTAGATGAGATGAGCCTACGTCTCTTCCTAAATATCCCATCTCAAGCGATCAAATTCAGATCAACCGCCTCCTATCCCATATCCAACCATCTCTGATGATAATATTGGAGTAGATTTAGATGAGCCCACGTTTCTTCCTAAATATGGGACAACCTCTAAGCTACTATCTTTCTTAGATTCCTTGTTTCAAACTTCATCTGACTATGTAAAACCTTCCTCCCTAGCTTCAGTTTCTCCGGCAGTCTTTCAGTCGGTTCTAGAAAGCCCAAGCAATCATGTCTCATTCGATTATGACTCACTTGAGGATGATGACCAAGATGGTGAAAAACAATCTGAACTTGAAGATTTCCCTAGAAGCTTTCCAGTACAAGATAATCAAGATGAGGATATTCCAATGCAAACGGTAGACATTCCTTTTAGTGAAGGACTGATAGTTGATAATGAACCACACGACATGTCAATTGTCCTTTATTCTAAACCATCTACCAATACATTAACCATTGATCTTGATGAATACTCTCCTTCACCTCCAATCTTGAGAAGTCCATTGTAGAACTACTAAAGCTTACACATCATCCTCCACTTCTCCTTTTCAAGAATTCGGTGAGCTAGTTCAACACCAATTGGATTCATTGCGAATTGACATTGCAAATATCTCAAAATCCAATTCCCGGAAAGACAATAACTTCTTAGGTGAAATATCTTCTCTTCAGAGGACTGTTCAATTGCTATTCAATGAAGTCAAGGCTATCAAGACACAATTTTCTTCTTCTAATCTATGTGCTCTTCAATAAAACTTGCATCGACTGATTCCAAACTTGACCTAATCTTATTAAAGCTATCCAGTTGAAATGCCAGGACACTTGAACCAGAGGGGGAAAAGGCCAACAAGACTTGATCAAGTCAGTATCCTATCATAGATGAAATTCCCGACTTACCAAATGAGTTTGAGAAAAGGAGACAAGAGAGTTTAGACCCACTCGACAAAATGGCTGTTGATGCATGATTAAAAGCTCAACAAAAGATAACAAAGATGGTAGAGAAAGAAAAGGAACTCATTCAACAGAAAGGGATCAAGGATCTATCTCTAAAAGTTCCAAGAAGTAAAGATGTTTACATCACCAAACCTTTCACCATATAAGAACCAATCAATTAACCAAAGCTTCCTCAATCTGATCCCACGGATAGTGGGAAATAGAAGATTGTCTTCAAGTCTAAGAAGGAGTTAGCTAATGAATCTTAATGGATATAGATGAAGAATTAGCTAAGAAACTTATGGCTAAGGAATTAAAGTCTAAACAAGAGGTGCTTCTCAAAAAGAAATCTTTAGATATCTCGCCTGAAGAAAGAAGTACATGAAATGATGAACATATTGAGCACCATCTCCTAAAAGAACCATTTTCTTCAATCCTGATAGAGATTCTTATCAAAAGATCAATGTTATCAATCCCACAAATTCTTTCACAACTCCTTTAGACCTTACTAAAGAAAACTGGGATATTACTGCACCCCTAAATGGCATGAAGTTCAATTTATGGCCAAGTGCAATTTATCCAGGTGGGCCTGATGTAGACATTGAAGAGGTGAAGAAATGATTCATCCTGAAGAAACCAATTCAAGTTGTCTATGTATGGTCAAAGCTACAGATTGCTTCAATCAACAAAATTAACATATGATAATTTAGAAAGATTCCATATGCATTCTTTCAAGGAAAAAGGACAGGCAACTCCGAATTCATGTTTTATGAAGCTAATTTCCCTAGAATAAATCAAGTTGATATCAGATCATTGATCATTTGATTGAAGCAAAGGGCGAGTACCAATGATGCTTATGAAGATGCCCTACAGTGCCTAAGGCAATATGTGCTCGACATGGTTATTGATTTCGGTGTTGACTGGGAAATTGGACAGCTAGGAGAAAAGGAAGCCAAGGAACCAAATTTGGATCTAAATATGGAAAATGAGTTACCTGGGAACAAACTAAAGAAACTACATAGAGGAGTTGTATTCTCTTCTAAAGATTGACTGAGATTTACGAGAATCTCTCAAAAACACCTATTCTCTTCTGAATTCATTCAAGGGGTCACTGGTTTAATGAAGAGAACAGGAGATCAAGACAATTCACTGAGATTGAAAATCATTCAAGAACATACTTGGGTTTTAAGTTTTCAACAATGGTTAATAAACTTGAGAAACAAAGTTTAGATTGTGTGTTTTTTGTTTTTGTTTTCAAACATGTGGATGATGTTTTCTTTTTGCTACTAGTAAATCATCTTTTTTGTTAAATTTCATCTTACATGTTATTACTTT